TGTCGACCGTAGGCCTACTAGGTTTTTAAAGGTTAACGGTCATGATGATGCGTCACTGAGTCCTCTCCGGTGATGTGTCATTAGGATGTAACCAGAGATAACGGAAAATAACGCATTTACGTTATTCAATATCTTACCTTCTCTTGGGCCCGTGTTAATTTTTTCTGCACGTTACTGGCAAGTTTCCCCGCAGTAACCCCCTTCCCCATCCCCATCTCAGCCATTTTGTCTTCCGATAAGCTCTCGATTCAGTATAATAAAAATAACGACTCCTACCGAGAAAGAAGCGACGTCGATGGAAAATATAGTCACCACTCGTGATAGTAGGCCTATGTACCGGTAACGTTTCGGAACGGGGTGTCTGTGTATAGCGAACAGACACAGCGATGTTTTCCAGTTTCCAGCGACGCGTAGGGGGTCCTACCACTACGTCAGTCAGACGGTAATAAAAAACCAATGCAGAGGGTTTTCCTCTTAAAGCCACAAGCTCACTAGCCCACTGCACAACCCAGTATTTACTTAGGCCTACTGTACTTTGCCATTGATGCATTTGGTGGCGACATTGCTTTGCTCACCAAATAAAAATGGAAAGTCTAGCTTGGACTAATGACTTGTGCTTGTCTTTTCATTGCGCGAGGAAGTACTGTAAAGTCAGCATGGAAACACAACCGGACCAAAACAATAGGCTAGCTACATCATACCTACATACTGTGGCTTATTCTGTGGGACACGGCCGGTGTAACGCTGTCCATGGTACTGAATGACTTTTAGTCTACAGATTTCGTACCTGTGGTGGTGCTGAATGGACAACAGAGTTCTGTGTGTGACTGATGTGGACCACAGACAACGCACAAGGGAAGGGTTTTGCCCATATGTGTCTTCAAATATACATTATATACACCATACACACTATATACACTATGTACACAATACACTATGTACAGGTGGCTTAGTGGGTAAGAGCGTTGTGCCAGTAACCGAAAGGTCGCTGGTTCTAATCCCAGGGCCGACTAGGTTGAAAAAATCTGTCGATGTGCCCTTATGCAAGGCACTTAACTATAATTGCTCATGTAAGTCGCTCTGGATAAGAGCTTATGCTAAATGCCATAAAAAAAACAATAAATATACAAAATACAATTATAAATAAATAATATAAAAAATACACTGTATATCCACTATACACTGTGTACACGATATACAGTGGGGAGAACAAGTATTTGATACACTGCTGATTTTGCAGGTTTTCCTACTTACAAAGCATGTAGAGGTCTGTAATTTTTATCGTAGGTACACTTCAACTGTGAGAGACAGAATCTAAAACAAAAATCCAGAAAATCACATTGTATGATTTTTAAGTAATTAATTTGTATTTTATTACATGACATAAGTATTTGATCACCTACCAACCAGTAAGAATTCCGGCTCTCACAGACCTGTTATTTTTCTTTAAGAAGCCCTCCTGTTCTCCACTCATTACCTCTATTAACTGCACCTGTTTGAACTCGTTACCTGTATAAAAGACACCTGTCCACACACAATCAGACTCCAACCTCTCCACAATGACCAAGACCAGAGAGCTGTGTAAGGACATCAGGGATAAAATTGTAGACCTGCACAAGGCTGGGATGGGCTACAGGACAATAGGCAAGCAGCTTGGTGAGAAGGCAACAACTGTTGGCGCAATTATTAGAAAATGGAAGAAGTTCAAGATGACGGTCAATCACCCTCGTTCTGGGGCTCCATACAAGATCTCACCTCGTGGGGCATCAATGATCATGAGGAAGGTGAGGGATCAGCCCAGAACTACACGGCAGGACCTGGTCAATGACCTGAAGAGAGCTGGGACCACAGTCTCAAAGAAAACCATTAGTAACACACTACGCCGTCATGGATTCAAATCCTGCAGCGTACGCAAGGTCCCCCTGCTCAAGCCAGCGCATGTCCAGGCCCGTCTGAAGTTTGCCTATGACCATCTGGATGATCCAGAGGAGGAATGGGAGAAGGTCATGTGGTCTGATGAGACAAAAATAGAGCTTTTTGGTCTAAACTCCACTCGCCGTGTTTGGAGGAAGAAGAAGGATGAGTACAACCCCAAGAACACCATCCCAACCGTGAAGCATGGAGGTGGAAACATCATTCTTTGGGGATGCTTTTCTGCAAAGGGGACAGGACGACTGCACCGTATTGAGGGGAGGATGGATGGGGCCATGTATTGTGAGATCTTGGCCAACAACCTCCTTCCCTCAGTAAGAGGATTGAAGATGGTTCGTGGCTGGGTCTTCCAGCATGACAACGACCCGAAACACACAGCCAGGGCAACTAAGGAGTGGCTCCGTAAGAAGCATCTCAAGGTCCTGGAGTGGCCTAGCCAGTCTCCAGACCTGAACCCAATAGAACATCTTTGGATGGAGCTGAAAGTCCGTATTGCCCAGTGACAGCCCCGAAACCTGAAGGATCTGGAGAAGGTCTGTATGGAGGAGTGGGCCAAAATCCCTACTGCAGTGTGTGCAAACCTGGTCAAGACCTACAGGAAACGTATGATCTCTGTAATTGCAAACAAAGGTTTCTGTACCAAATATTAAGTTCTGCTTTTCTGATGTATCAAAGACTAATGTCATGCAATAACATGCAAATGAATTACTTAAAAATCATACAATGTGATTTTCTGGATTTTTTTGTTTTAGATTCCGTCTCTCACAGTTGAAGTGTACCTGTGATAAAAAAAATTACAGACCTCTACATGCTTTGTAAGTAGGAAAACCTGCAAAATCGGCAGTGTATCAAATACTTGTTCTCCCCACTGTATATGTATGTATGTATGTGAATGTATATGTATGTATACTTTTTTTTACTGCTCTGGGGATATAATTATTGTTTGGATAACCTTATTTACTATTATGTATTGGTTTTATCTTACATTTTCTCTCTTTATGCGATGCACATTGCAGAAAACACCAGAATAATAATTATCACTGAATTATCACAGTGAATTTATTGTAATGTTTGTTTACTTGTCAATTAATCCCATAAGGGATGGGTTGCCAATTGGCAATTTGACACGAAAATAAAATGTCATTCATTCATTCACAAGTTTAGATAGCTGGCTATATCTATCTAAAAAGTTGTTAGCTGAAATGGCTAATTGAGTGACTGTCAGTGACTGACATAACATACACCTTGGTGTATTCTACTATTCTTACTCTCAATAGTAAATTGAGACCACGACTGAGTTCCTAGTGGCCCGGAGCCCTAAGCGACCGTTAATGTCTCTTATGCCTGGAACCGGCCTTGCCTGCTCTCCACTCATTGATATTCTCCACAGTGCTGCTGTATTCTACAACCCCGTGTTCTTGTGCATAATGGTATCATCCAAGGAAAGCTGGGGCTGCTCGACGCGAGCAGGGTAAGCGTGAACACAAAGACACCACAGCGTCGGATTGGGAAGAACAAAAGACAAGAGATCTCACACCAAGTGATGGACCCAAATTATGACAACAGTTTAAATTAAAAACAGGCTTGATTTTCTTTTTCTATCCATAGTTGACCCATTATTTAACATTGCATATTATAGGAAGGGGACATTACACTGCCGTTATCCGGGAGAGAGTGAAGCTTGAGCGGTGAGACATTCTAGGACTGTAGTGTTTCCAATGGCTTGGTGTTCAGGGGCAGTGCTCTCTCTGTGTCAAGTCGTGGTCCCGGTGCCTCTGTAGCGTTTGGGACGGGCAGGGACTGGGTCGACGGTTGAGGACGATGACTGTCTTGGATGCTGCTAGCTGACATAGAGGAGAATTCAACGGAATCTGACTGGGCATATCTCTCTTGTACATGCTGGGTCGTTACGGAGGTGAGTGAAACAGGTGCAGCTTTCTTTGTTCTTCATCAATAACAGCCGTTGGTTGTTGGGTTGATTTGGACAGCGTTTTTCAAGGCTTTTACTAAGGGATGCTTATTGGCAAGACATGGAGACAACACACAGGACAATACATCAATTCGTTGGGGAAAAAAAATCACGATATAGAAATTCCTGGGTTTGTGTTACATTTTAACGAGCCACGTTTTTGTTATTTTGTTTCAATAATGTTATGGTTGCCTATGCCACATCTTGGTTTGTTTCCATATTCATTGTTTGAAAATCCCAACCAAAGACAATTATCACTTTGGTTATTTATAAACGTAGTTTTTAATTAGATATTAGGGCGTATAATTCCGCGACACACTGACCTGCCCGCCCACTCCATCATTTGGCGGAAAGTCTCCTGTGCAATCTGACACTGTTGACAATCCAGCACATTGTACAGACATAATGTAATTAGTGCATCCAGCACAGACATAGCAGATGGCTTTTAGTGGCTTTTATACAGTTTGTTTGCATCCGAGTCTCTATACAAGACACCATTAGGCAGGCCAATGAATTCAGCATACCTGGTTGTTTATGTATTTCTCTCTCTCTCTCTCTCTCTCTCTCTCTCTCTCTCTCTCTCTCTCTCTCTCCTCTCTCTGCCTCTCTCTCTCTGCTCCTTCCTCTTCCCTTCTTCGTCTCTCTGCTCTTGTCTCTCTTCTTTTCTCTCTCTTCCCGTCCGTAGGTCTCTCTCTCGCCTCTCTCTCTCATCTCCGTCAATACTCTCTCGGTGTCTCTCTCTCGAATGGCATCATCGTCGTCTCTTCTTCTCTCTCTCTCTGCTCTCTCTGTGTGTCTGTGTGTATACAGGATGCTGTTGGTTATGATTAGGGTCATTAGGTGTCACCATCTGGATGAGGTTGGGTCGGTTTAGGTAAAGTTAAAGGGGCAATCTTGGAAAACAACAATCCTGCCACCCTGAAACTTGCTTGGATAAACAGCTGAGGGATGTAACCACTCTCAAATTCACATGCAGACCTATTGATGCAAGGACTGAGAATCCATTATATCAAAATGATGTTTTGACACCCCCAGATTGACCCTGAGAGCTTTGTGTGTATGAGTCTCTTGTCAAGGTGGACATGTTTTACACCACTGTGCTTGGTAGTGTTTTGGGCTGTGGTTGCTACAGACAACAACACATAAGCTAAGCTGAGTAATTTGTTGTGAAAGAGCTCTCAAAAAAACATTTACATTTTAAATATTCTATTGTTTGAAGATTTCTAAATGGCCTCTGTATGCTGAAAGCAGAACAAGTGCATTATTTTGAATCATTGCATTAGACAGGCACAGCTTTAGGGATAGTGAGTGACGGATGAAGAA